ATAAAAAACCCAGAAGAGAGAAATGACTAAAATTAGAAACAGAAAAGGAAACATTACAATTGATTATATGAAAATCAAAAGGAAATTAAGAGAATGAGATTGAACAATCATATAACAATAATAACCAAGAAGAAATGCATCAATTTCTAGAAATACACCACTTACCAACACTTAAGCATGAAGAACTAGAAACATTAAACACACCAGTGACAAAGACATTCAGTCAGTGATCAAATATCTCCTATTAAAGAAAAGTACAGACCCAGATGACTGCCATGGCAATCTATCAAATATTGAAAAAAAAAATTAACACAAACACTCCTTAAAATCTTCCAAAAATTATAAAGGGAGGGAACACTTCCAAACTCAATCAATGAGGCTTGTGTCACCTTGACAGCAAAGACAGATAAAGGCCCTACAATAAAAGAAAACTATAGAGCAATATTCCTGATTAATCAAATGCAAAAGTCCTCAACAAATTGCTGGCAAGACAATTTTCAGCAGCACACTGAAAATAATCACACATCATGACCAAATGGGATTTATTCCTGGAACGCAAGGGGGTTGCAACTTAGAAACATCAATCTGTGTCTTTCTGCACAACAGAATAGAGGAAAAAGGCCAAACATTCATCTCAGTTGATGCAAAAAAAGTCCCTTAAAAATATCTCCTAACAAAATGACTCAACACACTGGGCATACAAGGAATCTACTTAACATAATAAAGACCATATACAGGAACCTGACAGCTAACTTCATACTCAAAATTGAAAGAATGAAGGCTTTTCCGTTATGATGAGAAAAAAGAAAATGAGAGCACACTTGCATTATTTCTATAAAAAATACAGTTGTCCCTCAGTATGCAGGGAGTGTTAGGTCCAGGCTTCCCCATGATACCAAATTCTATGGATGCTCTTCCACACCTGCAGTTTCTACATCCTGAGATTTAACTAAACACAGATTGAAACTATAGTCTGCCTTTCACAACCCTGGGTTCCACATGTGCAGATTCAATCTACTGTGGATTGCTGACGTAGGCGTCATTGAATCTCTGGATACAGAAGCAATGGATATGGAGGGCAAAGTGTAGGTACTGGAAACCTAGCTAAAGCAATGAGAAAAGAGAAAGAAATAGAAGGCATGCAATTGGAAAGGAAGACATAAAATGATCTCTGTTCAGATGACACTCTTTTACGTAGAAAATCCTAAAGATTCCATAAAAACCTGTTGGAACTAATGAACGAATTCCAACATGTAGGATACGAAATCTACTTAAAATTAGTTTCTTTCATATGCATTAATATAAATAACACCAAAAGAAAAATAAGTAAATAATTTGATTTACCATACCATGAAAAAGAATTAAATACTTAGGAATGAGCTTAACAAGGAGGAAAAGGATTTGTAAACAGAAATGTAAGAAATATTACTGAAAGAAATTAGAGAACACACAAATAAATGCAAAAATGTCCCATGGTCATGCTTTGGAAGACTTGATGTGAAATGTCAATAACAACCAAAGTGACCCACACATTCAGTGAAATCCTTAGCAAAATCCTAAGGAAACTATCTACAAAAATAATTTATCCTTAAATTAAAAAGAAATCACACGATCACCTCAATAGGAAAAGAAACTTCAAAGAAATACAGCAAGAGGTCTTACATTGCCCCATTTCAAAACTCATTACAAAACTACCTGAATCAAATCAGTACTGTACTGCCATGAAGACAGACATATGAAGCAATGGAACAGATCAGCACTCACAAGGAAACTCTCAAATACATGGTCTAATGATGGTCAAGTACGGTGGCAAGACCATGTACAGGGGAAAGGACAATCCCTTAAACAAACAGTCCTGCGGGCTGGGCACGGTGGCTCATGCCTGTAATCCTACCACTCTGGGAGGCCAAGGAGGGCGAATCCTTTGAGCTGAGGAATTCGACACCTGCGTGAGCAAGAGCGAGACGGCACCTCTACTAAAAAAAAAAAAAATAGAAAGAAATTAGCTGGGCAACTAAAAATATATATAGAAAAAATAAGCCAGGTATGGTGGCACATGTCTGTAGTCCTAGTTACTTGGGAGGCTGAGGCAGGAGGATCGCTGGAGCCTGGGAGTTTGAGGTTGCTGTGAGCTAGGCTGAGGCCACGGCACTCTAGCCCGGGCAACAGAATGTGACTCTGTCTCAAAAAAAAAACAAAAACAAAAAACAAACAGTCCTAAGCAAATTGGATATCCACATCCAAAAGAATGAAGTTGGACCCTTACCTTGCACCATATGAAAACATTTACTTAAAATGGATTCATGACGTAAATGTAAGACTAAAATTATAAAACTCTTAGAAGAAATTATAGGTAAAAAGCTTTATGAGTTGCATTCAACCATGATTTCCTGCATATAACACCAATACACAGAAAACAAGGTACAAATACCCACTAGAATGTCTATTTTCAAAAGTAATAAAAGAAAAATCCCCCTAAAATAGAAATGTTGGTGAGAATTAGAGAAATGGGAGACTCGACCCCTGCTGGTGGGAATGTAAAATGGTGCAACCACTATGGAAACCAGTATGAAATTTCATCATATAATTCAAAATTGGGAATTATCTTAGAAGCCAATAATATCCCATCTGGGTATATATTCAAAGGAATTAAAGACAGGATTGTGAGCAGGTATATACAAACCCATGTTAAAAAAAACAGCATTATTCAGAACAGTCAAGAAGTAGAAGCAACCGAGGTGTGCACTAACAGATAAATGGATAAACAAAATGTGGTATGTATTAAATACATAAAAGGAAAGTGATTCAGTCCACAAAAAAAAGAAATTACTTTACATGCTACCAGATGATTTAACGTGGAGGACACTACACTAAGTGCAACAAGCCTGACATTAAATGACAAATACTCTATGATTTCACTTCTGTGAGGGACCTAAAATTGCCAAATTCGTACAAACAGAAAAGAAAGGAGAGGAGCAGAGAAAACAGGGTAGGGAGAAGTGACTTTAAATACTCATGGTAATGAAACAATTCTAATACAAAGAATGAGGAACACATGATGCATTTTAGCTCTGCTAATCTCAGACAATGTAGGATATTGTAAAATGTCTTTGAAAACAAAAGGGGCATGATGTCAGAGATACCACCACTTTACATATTAGTAGACATAGAGCTGTGCTTGTGAAATGAATGAAAGCTTATGTGTATGTATCTAAAATGAATAAATATAACTTCATAATTATCACCAGAAGAGCATAAATAATTACATGGACAAAAATAAGTAAATGACCCACAGTGAGGATGGCTCACACTGAAGGGTACTGCTACGGGCAGCAAAGAGCAGAAACATACCGGGGCAGCGGTGTGGACACCCACGGACTAGGTCATTAGCAACACAGGCAGCAAATAAGAGCCAGAGAACAACAGGACAGCACGAGGCTGTGGATTACCAGGGATCAGGTGAACATTACAGGAAATTCAGATGGAAAGAGTTCACAGAAGCCAGAGGACAGGTGTTGTCCCATAGAATAAAGACTTTGCCTTGGTTTCTGAGGTGGAGCACCACTCGAGGGCGAAAGGATAAACTATTACATGTCTAAAGAACAGAGTGGTAAGTAGGGGCAAAGATTTCCGTTTAGAGCTCCTAGGATTTAAACTTTGTTTGACGACTGAACTCCCCGACTTGCAAACTTTCCCAAACACTGTTCAATAGTGTAGTTTCCACTGTGCCCACCGGAGCTCTTACCTGGATGCAAACCCGGGATCCTTTCCCCACCATTTGAGTTTCTTGGTGTTTTCATTTCACTGTCCATAGTCCAGAGATCTTCCCCTTCCTCCAACACAGAGATAACACTCAGGTCAGGAAGCAAGATTCCTGCTTATAAAAACAAACAATCAAGAAGTGCTGTGGCTTTGCCAAAATCCAAGCCCTATATTTAGGTAGGAGAGAGGACATTACAAATGGATCAAGAAAAATATTTCACAAATTCATCCACAGATGGCCTATTTCTGAATGTGTATAAAACTGCATTATGCAAACCTCTAGCTCTCTTCCAAGAACTACGGAATCGAAAGGTTGGGGGTAGAAAACAAGGACCTGGACATTTTTAAAGTTTCCTGCAAGGTTTTCTTGCATATGTAATCCATTGTACCACAAAATGATGTATTATGAAGAGGAAAGAACAACTGAACAAGGGGACAGTTAAAGTCTACAGAGTTTCTGACCATTTCTTCAGAACTCGCTCCCCTCCTGGTGAAGCCCACACTCACGCTGCAGCAGTGGGGAGCTGGGCTGGGCTGAGCCCCCCTCCAGGGCACAGACCCACCCTTGACCAAACCTGATGCAGAGCACAGCCCCCCTCATTCCTCCGTGGATCCCAGGCTGATCTCAGCCCTCAGCATAATGGAGCTTTTCAGTTCTGAGTCAATAAGGCTTGCATCCCAGTCAAGCAAC